GGCATGCGCTACCACGCCTGGCTGATTTTTTGATTTATTGTAGAGATGAGGTCTCGCTGCCCAGGCAGGTCTCGAACCCATGGGCTTAGGCAATCCACTCACCTCAGCCTCCCAAAGGCACGGGATTACAGGCTGAGCCACCGAGCCCTCGGCATAATAGGCTTTAAAAAGATATTTGTTTGTGCAGATGGGGATGGTGGGTACACTTAAAGCCCAGACCAAAACTATTTGTAGCTCCCCAAACTATGCATAGACACATTTTTTTTTAAATAAAGAAACTTTAAAAATGAGAAAAAAATTTTTTGCTGATCTGATTTAGTAAGGAAGATAGTGAATTATTCTTTTTCTACAAAAGGACTCCTTTAGTATCAGAAACTGGATTCAGCCTGAATAACTGGAAAGGGCTGGCAAAATGCCACTTTCTTCTTATCTCTTACCTCAATGGGCAAAAACAACACAGCCCAGCTCACTATCGGCACCAAGCAGAATTTGAGGGGAGACGGGTCAGCACAGTGAGGCAGAAGTAATGTTTTCACACCAACCCTGAACCCTAAACCAGCACTTCCCTTCTCTTCCTGCTGAGATCAGCTGGCCACCCTCGCCTTGAGTTGAAAGGAGGGGCCCAGAGACAAGTGGACTGGAGAGGTGGGTGGGCTGGGAGTAAGTGACAGGAGAGACCACTCCGATTTGCGGACCTCTGCCTACATACCATCTTAGAACATCTCTCCCCTCCAACCCACTCTCCACACAGCGGTCAGAGTGATCTTTAAACAGTTAAATCAGATACCACATTCTCTTACTTTAAAACCTTCCAGGCCCTCCACTGTCCTCCAGCCTCCCTTCCCAGCCTCCTTGTGCTGCATTTCTCCTCCCATTCCTCATTAGGCTCAAACTATGTTGATCTACTTTCTGTTTCTTTCTTCTATTTTTTTTGAGCCGGAGTCTCACTCTGTCACCCAGGCTGGATGGAGTGCAGTGGCACAATCATGGCCACTGCAGCCTCGACCTGCTGGGCTCGGGCGATCCTTCCACCACAGCTTCCAAGTAGCTGGAACTACAGGTGCATGCTAACAGCTAATTTTTTGATTTATCGTAGAGACAAGATCTCGCCAAGCTGCCCAGACGGGTCTTGAACCGCTGGGCTCAGGCTATTCTCTCGCCTTGGCCTCCCAAAGTTTTGGGACTACAGGCGTAAGTCAGTGTACCTGGCTCCTTTCAGTTTTTCACACCAGCCAAACTCTTCCTCTTCAGGGCTTGTTGCTACTTGCAGACCCCTACTCTTTGGAAAGCTACCCAACCACTGCTGTGTAGCTAACGCCTTCTCAGCCTTCATGCCTTTGCTTAAAAGCACCTCCTTGGTGGTCTTTGCCTACTGTTTACTCTTTACGCCCACTGGTACTATCCTTTTCAAAGCACTTGTCACAATTTACAATGATTTGTTCTCCTTCTTTACTTCCTGACACACTTACTTGTCTGTAATCTCTACCAGGGCAAAATACAGTCAGCCCTTCATATCCTTGGGCTGGCATTCGTAGATTCGACCAACCGTGGATGAAAATATGCGGGAGAAAATTGCATTTGTACTGAACTTGTATATACTTATTTTTCCTGTCATTAGTCCCGAAACAATACAGCAGGACACCTATTTACACGGCATTTACATTGTATTGGTTATTTTAAGTAATCCAGAGATGATTACAATATAAGGAACCGGGTTTGGTGGCTCATGCCTATAATTCCAGCACTTTGGGAGGCTGAAAGCTGGAGAATGGTTTGAGCCCAGGAGTTCAAGCCCAGCTTGGGCAACACAGCGAGACCTGGTCTCTAGAAAAAAATAAAAAAATAAAAAATAAAACACAGGTGGGAGAATGTGCATAGATTCCATGCAAATACCGTGCCATATTATATCAGGGACTTGAACATACATGAATTTTGGTATCTGCGGTTTGGTCCTGGATACTGAGAGAAAAGTGTATTATGTATGTCTTGCTCCCTCTGCACCCCCCAAGGCCAGCGCCGAACTCAGTACATACTGAGTGAAAGAACCTGTGACCTGATTGGTCATGGTGATTACCAGTACAGGAGTAGGAGGGCATTATGAAGAAAAACGCTGCTTAGGATATCTGTTATTTATTTGCTGCCATGGACCAACTAGAATAGAAAGAAATCATTTCTTTACTTTCTCCTCCCTGACTTTTGAATGTGTTACCCACCAACACAACCAACCTTCCATTCCCCAACCATCACAAACCCTCGTCCTTCATGGAGGATGGAACCTTTCTTGGTTGTTTGGTTTTTAGGATTCCTAGAGGAGTCTTAAAGATTAAGAGGATCTCCCAGTGTGGGAGTGGAGCCAGAGCTGGGGAATTTATATCTGTCTGTCCACTTGAGAGGGAGATGACTGGTCTCCCTGGTGGGGCAGGGCCCAGTAATGGCAGATTGTGCCAAAGACACACCTCCCACCCTGAGCAGGGCCCAGAGAGATCCCCTGAAATGATGGCGTGTGGCTGTTGGGGAACCTCAACATGAAGCATGGAGGCTCTGGGACCCTTGCCCATCAAGGCTGGAAGGAAACTGAGGTAGCTCTCTTCAGTTTGGAGCACTCAGAATGTAAAGGTCTCAGTGTGACCATGGCAGACTGGAGATGAAGTCTATGACATAACATCGATGATTTTGGATTCCTGTATAACCCAAGAAAGTAGTATGCTGAAAAACTACTGAAATTACATTGCTCATCTCCTAGCATAGTCTACGAGCTTAGAGCCTGTCTTAATTAGATTTTTTAAAGTGCCCTTTTACTTTTTAAAATTTGAGATAGGGTCTTTTTGTGTTGCCTAGGCGGGAAGGCAGTAGGATAATCATAGCTCACTGTAGCCTTGACCTCCTGAGCTCAAGGGATCATTCCATCTCAGTCTCCTGAGTAGGTGGGGCTACAAGCGTAAGCCACCACGCCCACCCAGCCAAAATATCCATGTCTTACATCTGAAATGCTCAAGAACAAATTCACTCTTTTGAACACATAAGAATACAAGAAGTCTATAGTCTATAAACTGGAAGACGCCCTCACCAGAATCTGACTATACTGACACCCTGATCTTGGACTTCTAGCCTCCAGAACTGTGAGAAATAAATTTCTATTGTTCATGAAGCAAACAAATAAAAAAGCACAAATTCATTTTTATAATGTACTCAAAAGTGGCTGTGTATAGAGTCAAAAGATCTTAGAAATTAGGACTTTGCATTGGTGTTTAGTCCTTCGGGTTGTAGGCTCAATGGCTCTTTACGTTAAAGGGGAGCTGTGATTCATATAATCCAGCCCTCTTTCCAATTCATGAAGACTAGATACTCGCTAAAGGACATTGATCGTGGCGTCCTGGGCATTCCTCACATTGGGGAACAAGCTCCATGGTTGATAGAATAAGCATTTGAGAGAGATTGACTGGAAGAGCTGCACGTTTTGTTTTCATTTTATTAAATTTTTTTTCAAAGGACTACGTCTTAGATTTAGTCCTAGAGGGATAAATACTTCAGTAAAACTGTCCAAATTCATGACTTAATGCTACATTTTTCTTTAAAAAAATGTTTTTCAAAACTTGAAAACAAAACAAGAAACAAAAAAAAAAACCTAAAAGAAAAAGTTGTGAAAAGCACAGCCAGGAGTCAGCAATGCAGAAACATACAAGCTAGTGTGCACTCAGCTCCCATGCCCACTCCTTCTAGTCTCTTCCATCCAAAGGCTTCACTTAGATAATTTGATGCTGAATAATTAGGTCAATGACACAACAGGGGTCCACTTACTTCCCTAGATCTCTAATTAATTTCTGGTGTTTATAACATCAAATCTTTAAATGGATAATATGAATAATCCATTTTGAAAGGTAGATACATTATTAATAAAATGAATCTGTTCCTCTAAAAGTGAGATCATATTTCATTAGTATTACATCAAATATGTACATGAATTTCATGTTGTATGACAACTATGTACTTCTTGTGTTTCTGTTTCTAATAACAGAAAATAATAGACTTTTACTGATTATTTACTAAGGTGATTTACTTGAAATCTCGACTTTATTATATAAAGTAATTTATGGTATTGTTTATTCCCTTGGCAAGAAATCACTTGTACTAAAAACATCTAAGGGAGCTGAAGTTGAATATCATGTGACCAAGAATGGACTTTATTATATATCTGACTCATTCTGCCTAAATTATTTAGATTTGAATTACTTTGTGCAATTAATGGGTGCTCTGACAATCTTTTGTTACTTCTTTTAGATGGATGACTAGGCTACAAGGTTAACTGGCTTCATTCATGAATAAACTCTCCAATCTTTATCATTAACTAATTCATACGATTCTTTCAAAGCAAAGTCATATTGGTGAGTATGTATTCCACTACACATTCATAAAGAAATGAATGCCTGAATAGATTCCTGGGTATGAACTAAAGATTAATAGGTGCTAACAGAAATTCTAAAAGCTCACCAAAATCCACAATGATATTTATAAAATATTAGGAACCAACGCTTAAGGTACATGAAGAAAAGATAAGTATTTCAAAAAGGATTTAGCCTAAGGATGCTAAATTATAGAACAAGAAGGAACAAATTGGCCATATTAGTTAAAAATGTCTACATAAAACATTAGAAAGAATATTCTTTCAAAATGTCTTGACTTATTAGTGGTGTTAGTATTATAAAGTGTCCTTTTTGTCTGACTGGAAGAGAATATTGAACAATCTAAGCATCTGAATGATTCTGTCTATTTGGACTTGTTTTAAAAATTATCAGACCCTTGCCGGGCATGACAGCTCAAGCCTATAATTCCAGTACGTTGGGAGGCCGAGACAAGAGGTTTGCTAGAGCTCAGAGGTTCAATACCAGCCTGGGCAACTTGGTAAGACCTTGTCTCTACAATAAACCAAAAAATAAGCTGGGCGTGGTGGCACACACCTGTGGTTCCAGCTACTTGGAAGGCTGAAGTGGAAGGATCACCTGAACCCAGCTGGTCAAGGCTGCGGTGGCCATTAGCATGCCACTGCACTCCAGTCTGAATAACACAGTAAGACACTAACTCAAAAAAAAAAAAAGTAAATTAAATTTCTAGGCTACTGAAGGGGAAAAATTTTTTTTAACACCAAAGGTTTTAAAAGCTTAAAGTACGAAAGAATAAAACAACTATGGGTTAGACCTAACAAATATGTATTTATAGATTCGGCTTTCTATCAAGTCTATTTTGTCTTTTGTTTTTAATACTATGGCTATTTAAGCATAACGTTACAAATCTCCCTCTATTTCAGAGATATTTTTATTCAACCACCAAGCATAATTTAACAATAGCTACTCACTGTCTACTAGTTTTTAAAGTTCTTTAAAAAATATGTTTTACTTTGTACAGCCAGGAAGCAGCCTGTTTCCAAAACTAGATGTAACCTCAACCTTTTGCCAAGGAAATCTTTTTACCTCCAGAGAAAATAATAATTTCCTTGACAAAAGAAAGCTGGCATTCCATTTACCCTTAAAAGACATACACACACACATCCCTGTTATTATGAATGAAAAATAATCAAAGAGGCATTTTTGGGGTCAGTACAAAAAAATTAAAAATACAAATATTTTCACATATTTATCATAAAATACTATTTTCAGTTTAAAATTGGAGGTAGCAAATAGCTACATACTTACCGGTAATCAGTTACTGGCATTCTGAACTCTTCAGAATATAAGAATTTTGCAACAAAACGTACGTGACTGTCAGCTGATAGAGACGTTGCAAAGTCCTTATACCTTTTTCATAGCAATCCTTATTTTGTTCATGCTTCTTATCTAAAAATAATCCTAGTATAGATTTTCAAACACATGTATGTAACAGGCAATTAATGCACACTTACATTAATTCTCCAGTAACCCTCATGATAATTTAATCCTTATTGTACATATTAGGAAACTGAAGCACCATTAGTAAATGGTGGAGCCATGGCTGGAACTCAAGTGTTTTTTCCTTCAAAGCCTGTGTCCGCTTTTACCATCTAAGTTTAATGATATGTTTTCTGAGCTAATCAGAATGGAAAAATGGGGTGGGCAAAGGCAGGAAGTACAGTAATGGGAAAGAAAAGTTGGGAAGAGACAAACACGCAGAAAAACCCTACCAAAAAAACAAAATAAGAAGTCAAAGGCATCACCATCGGTGTAGAATACATAGTTCCACACACTGTAGCTCCACACACTATAGCTTCTGAGGAGTTCACTAATAAACAGTAGGCTGGGCACGGTGGCTCAAGCCTGTAATCCCAGTACTTTGGGAGTCCAAAGCAAGAGGACTGCCTAAGCCCAGGGATTTGAGACCAGCCTGGGCAACTTGGTGAAACCACATCTCTACAATAAATCAGAAAATTAGCCGGGCATGGTAGCGCACGCCTCTAGTTCCAGCTACTTGGAAGGCTGAGGCGGAAGGATCACCTGGGCCCAGCAGGTCAAGGCTGCAGTGGCTGTGAGTGTGCCACTATACTCCAACCTGGCTACAAAGTGAAACTCCAACTCTAACTCCAAAAAAAAAAAGCAACATAACTAATGATCATGCCAGTAGTCTGTTTCAAAATTAAAAAAAAAAAAAGGTTAGGTTTTTTTCAGGATACTGTGTTAAGGCAAGAAGTAGAAATTATTATTATTATTATTATTTTGACACAGGGTGTCACTCTGCTGCCCAGACTGGAGTGCAGTGACAGGATTATAGCTCACTGCAGCCTCAACCTCCCGGACTCAAGAGATCCTTCTGCCTCAGTTTCCTGTAATGGGGACTACAGTCAAATGCCACCACATCCAGCTATTTTTTTTTTTTTTATAGTGATGGGGTCTTGCTTTGTGTCCCAGGTTGGTTTCAAACCCCTGGCCTCAAGAGATCCTCCCTTCTCAGCCTCCCAAAGTGCTGAGCCTGACAAAAATTTATTTTAACCAGAGAAATTGTAATCTAATGGCTAAGATAAAAATGTAAATTCTCAAAAGAGGTAAACTTTCCTTATCTAAAAAAAATTAATTTGCAACCTCTCATTCTCTGAGGATAGCAACTGCACAAGGTATTATGATCATATTACTTCAATTCACCTAGTTTTTTATGGGTATATGTTATAGTTCACAAGCATATGCAATGCAGAGCTTTGACAGATTAGATTGTACAGTCGTTTCTGTGAGCTTGTGTATGTTCTCTGCTATCCTCAGAAGTAGATCCTGGGAGGATCCAAAAAAACTAGAATTTATATATTAAAAAGTATATTACATGTTCTAGTTTAAACATGTAAGCTAAAAATTGTATAGGGCAGGTGGAAAATGCAATTTGAGTAAAAAAAGAGATCCTTGAGTAAAAAGCATATCCTTGCATGTTTAAACTTGTCACCTTCAAAGTACTATCCATTTGATGTAATACACCTATTGAGATGCTTTTTCACTGCTCAAAACAGTTTTTGAATTCATCAATTTTGATGCTTTTTAGTGCCTCTGCTGTTTTTTGTTTCACCTTTTCCACACTGGCAAACGTTTCCCTTTGAGGATTCTTTTCATCCGGGGAAATAAAAAAAAGTTGCTTGGGGTGAGATGAGGTGAATCGGGAGGTTGGGGCACAGGGGTCTTGCTGCTTCGGTCAAAAACTACTGAACACAGCATGATGTGGGCAGGTTGTTCGTGTAAATCACCCATCATGAAATGGGCAAACGTGTTGAAAGAATCTCAGAAAATAAAAATAAAAACTAACTGAAGCTGCATGTGCAGTCTCTCACAACAATGCTAGCTGGTACACCGATGCCAATGGTTTTCTAGAACACTTACCTAGTGGGGGAAGGCTGTACTAAAAGGGAGCTGCCCTCCAAAAGATAATTCCAATTTGAAGGGGGTCTTCCCTTGTACCTTAATTCCTCAAGACTTCAGTACATAAAAAGACAATTTCTAAAAATTAAAACAAAAAGTTTCTTGGATAAACTATAGTGAGAAGTGATCTAGTGATTTTTGTTGCTCATTCCCTATAAAGCAGTTATTTTGAATATCTTAGCAGAACTAAATTTAGCTTGGATTACACAGATAATAGGCATACAAGAAACAGTTGTTGAGGGAATGCATTTTGAAGGACTGCTAAGGCTAATACTAGACGGTGATGATGAAAACGACAGTGATGACACTAGAACATACAGAGTACATTCTTTACTTTTTAAATGCAATACTTTATTGCTTTATAATTGAATGTGTTTTACCCCCTGAGTGAACGATCACATTCATTTTAGGTAGTGCTTTTGAAATGTAGCCCATCAGTTCTCTTTTTCACTCAAATTGCATTTTCCAACTGCCCTATACAATTTTTAGCCTTTTTCAGACTCCCTGAGAGGTGTTGCTGTTGACCACCAAATGAGTGATTAAGTACATGGCAAAAGGGTGGCATTGGGAATTAAGTTCTAAAATAGATACACAGAAAGCCAGGATTTAAAATTCAGAGGTTGGTTAGAAGGATTCTCTTTGATTCATTGTTCCCTTAGATTTTCTAGTTTGGGAAGGACTTTAGTAATCTTCTAACTCAATTTTCCATTCTGTAGAGCATTTTTCTCCAGCATCCTTGAAGGGCTGTTCTCTGACTTCTGCTTCAATGTACCCTCTTTGGGAATAATGTTATTCCATGTTGAAGAGCTTCTCATTAGTAGAAAGTTTTCCTTTACATTGAAAGGAAATTGTTCTTTGAAATTTGAAACTCACTAGTCTAGGCCTATACCATTCACAGTCTCTTAGAAATGTCTTTGTGCTAACTTTAAATAGAGTCACTGTTCTGAGGTGACATCTCTATCATGTCCTGAGCCTCAGACACATAGATTCTGAGAGAAAGAGTAGCCAATGCTATGCTTGAATAAGCATGCCCTGATATGTTCTGTTGATCTTGACTGTGACTTTTATCAAAAAGCAATGGATTTCCAAATGGAATAGAATCAGATTCGGGAAAGTCCAAATTCCAAATGTGGAAGCAACAGAGCCAAGATGGAAACACCTTGATTGTTGTTCATACTCACGCACCTGAAATTGCCTGGACTGTGCACGTCTGTTTTAATGGAATTGATTGCATACTCTGGCCTATAGGTCCCACACCACACCTAGGGATAGCAATCGAAAAAGTGAGGCAATGTACTCAGGTTTCTGTCAAGGATTCTTCGTTTAAACAGGTCAGGAGGAGGAAGCAAAATCAAATTGGAATTCTGCATTCTTCAACCATTGACTCTTCAAACAATGTTCAATGAGAGGCAACCAGGAGCATAATTATTTATCATTAATATGATCTGACAGTCTATTATAAACAATGAAAGTGAGTTGAGTCAAATGCTCTGCCACAATTGATTAAAACAAGAAAACTCAGCATGTAGTATCTAACTTACTGTGAAATTATAACTCAAAATGATTTTTGTATCTATCAATCAAGAAAAATACAATACCTGGGCAAAGTTCAAGAAGAACAGTTGTTTGTGATTTAGGTCAAGTCCGGGAAGTAATTTTTCTTCACCATGCTTTTTAACAAAATTCTGATAGGCCTGATAAAATAGAAACATGATGATTATGATTTCTGAATTTATACATAAGCCTATGTAAAAATTCATGTAGCCAGGTAATCAACCTTTTATATCACAATCACCGTAAGAATACATTTAGATATAGCAACCTACAGCTATTCCATGGATTGAAAGAAAACTAGAATTTATTTACAAATGTTCTGAAAAGAACAAGATACTGGTTAGCAGATGACAAAAGACTGGCACATGTCAGATGATCAATAAGTATCAACTGCATAAATGGATGACTGAAATAAGTGATGAAAAACTTATCTAAATGTTGTTTACAGATTGATGGATAAGGAGCGTATGTTAGACAAATGGATTGTCAAGGAAGTCAGCAGCTGCTCTATTTAGCTTACATACTACTCTTTAGCAAAATAGACTCACACCAGAGTGCATCTTGAGTGATTCTTGCCAAAGTCAAGGGATTTTCTTGGGATCCCTTAGAGTCCTAGTTTCCTATGAGTCTGAGGATAAGGATATGCAACTATTCTGGTTCCTTGAAGATAGGACAAAATAGACTGAATCTGTTACATCAGGAAGAAAAAATTTAGATAGCATGAATGTCATAAAGTTTTCTTAATTCTTAAGGATTTTAAGGACAATATTGGAAAATGTAGTTTTCCTCTATTAAATATACTTTTTAATGGAATTGACAATAAACTTTCTGAGATGTGTGATTTCTGATTTGATATAAAGGAAGGCGATTAATTAGATAAGCAGGAGTATATTTCATTTCTTCCTATCTACCATCAACATAGATTTATTGGGCCTCTACTACGTAAATATGCTGGGGATATGGGGAAGGCTTGCACCTGCTCCCCATGAGGGAGCTCACAATTTACTTGGAGGGCAAGACACTATATGTTTAAAAATCATGTATTTTCCATGTATAACAAAATACTTGCACAACCATAATTTGCTTCATTATAATTCTGTACTTGTCTTAGGATCTCCATAGAAGTACCATCAACCCAAACTTTGGCTGGATTTTTACAGCAGCGATTCTCAATATGACCATATATTAGAATCACCAAGGGACTATTAAGAGTGCTAATGCCTTCTACTGTCAGCCAAGATGGAGTGGCAGGGACTGAATTTAACATTCTATTCAAAAACTAAACAATGAACAAAATATATAAAACAAAGGTTTGCACAACACTGGGCACCAGGCAAAAAGTAGCATAACCTCTGAGAAATGGTAAACAAAGTGAGTTTCTTGATCGCTGAGCTTATTGCCCTGAAAGTTTTCAGGCCACAACATAGGGAGGAAAAACCCAGCTGGAGCAGGGGGATACTTCTTGAATTGAGGAGAAGAATCTGAGAGTTAAGGAACACCAAGGACAGGTTATAAAGAGGGGAAAGCTACACAAAAGGACGACTTCAGTGATCACAGATGGTCACCCTCAAGCATTCAGCTTTGTATAGATTGGGAGATTTGTGTGAGGAAACTACCCAACACTGGGAAAGGAATCACCCAAAAGGATTAGAGATAGCAGTGTGTGGTGCTCATACATACAAGAATGGAGAACCCCAGCGTTCACACAGTAGAGTCTTGTCTCAGCAGCAGGGAACAATTGTCCCCAGACTGAGCACTGCTCCAGTCCCATCTATTAAGTTACAAAAGCAAGACCCAAAAGGATCAAATCATTTTCAAGAAATTTAACTGTATCCTAGAATGAGGCTTAAGAATATGTATAGAAGCCGGGTGCGGTGGCTCACGCCTATAATCCCAGCACTTTGAGAGGCTGAGGTGAGAGGATTGCCTGAGTCCATGGGCTCGACACCAGCCTGGGCAACTTGGCGAGAGCTTATCTCTACAATAAATCAAAAAAATTAGCCAAGCATGGTGACGCACGGCTGTAGTTCCAGCTACTTGGAATGCTGAGACGGAAGGATCACCTATACCCAGCAGGTCGAGGCTGCTGTGGCCGTGAGCGTGCCACTGCACTCCAGCCTGGGCAACAGAGTGAGAATCCAACTCAAAAAAATAAAATAAAATAAAGAATTTGTATAGGAAAACAAAATAATATCTAGCACCCAAAGAGTTGAAATGCACAGTGTCTGGCATGTCAGTTTAAAAAAAAAATTACCAAACATTGAAAGCAGCATCAATCTACCATCCCCAGGAATTGGCTGGGACTTATTCTTTTAGAAACCTTGTAGCTGGCTTCATCTCCCAAGCTTCATACTCTGATCATCCTTGGTCATTGCCAAATCACAGGTCCTAACAGTTTCCTCTCCTTACAGTTCTCAGTTACTTCCTCTTCCCTGGCCCAACCACCAATGCTCTCCTCTTCCTTTCTAACCCAAACCTTTCCACATCCTCATCCACCCCACTGATCATTCCATCCATCCTTGTCTTGGAGAAGCCTGGCTCGAGCCTAGAGACACTGTGTCCCTTGCACCATCTCAAGTAGACTCTGCTTGCTCTCCTACATGTGAGATACCTCAGGTTTGAGAGAAGCACTCAAAAACGGCTCACAGAAGCCTCTGCTTCCTGGACTCAGGCAATCCTTCTGCTTCAGTCTCCTAAGTAGCTGGGAAAATAGACAAGCGCCACCATGACCAGCTAGTTTTTTAATTTTGTTGTGGAGATGAGGTCTCGCTATGTTGTCCAGTCTAGTTTTGAAGTCCTGGCCTAAAGGAATCCTCTTGCCTCAGGTGGGATTATAGGCGTGAGCCACCACACTCATCCTTGAAAAACTTCTTCAGTCCTCCTTATTGCTTCTAAGAGCATCATTCCTTCAGCCTTTGTGAAATCCCTACTTATTCTTATGTACATAGCATCCACTACACCATCCTTTAATCCTTTCTCTCACACACATCATCAAATAATGGCATATATTTTTTTTTATGAAGGGTTTATTGTTGCATCTCCAGCACCTCGAACAGTGCTAAACCCATGGTAAGGTCTCAATAAACATGTGTTGAGTACAAAAATGAATGGCAGGCTACATGGAATTCTAAGGGATGCTGATAACATCTCTCTGTGTATGATAGTTTGGTCAGCTATAAGCCATACACTGGAGCCATATCACATTGGCTCCTAACAGCATCACTGTAAATCAACTGTGGATTATTAATATTATGCCTGTGATTTATGTCGATTATGTCTCCAAATGCTGTTTTACTTGCTGCGAAACTGAGGGTCCTGTGCATTATTCTGAGCAATAACTCTGAAATAATCCTCTTAAGGGACATCTTTTCTTAAAAAAAAAACAAACAAACCTATTTCAGAGATTCTTTCTTGGAAAAATGTTGAGCCCAGCAACATGGCACATGCCTGTAATCTCAGCACTTTGGGAGGCAAAGGCGGGGGGATCACTTGAGCTGAGGAATTTGAGACCAGTCTGGGCAACATAGCCCTGTTTCTACAATTTTTTAAAAAATTAGCTGGGCATGGTAGTGTATGCCTATAGTCCCAGCTATTTGGGAGGCTGAGGAGGGAGGATCGCTTGTGCCCAGGAGGTCAAAGCTATAGCAAGCTATGATCACATCACTATACTCCAGCTTGGGTGAAAGAATGAGACTCTGTCTCAAAAAGAAAAAAAAAATTTTTTTTTAAAGAAAAATGTTACCTCCTCTGTGGAACTTGCATATCTTCTCATTTGGGAACATTCTATGTTTCCTCTTCTTGACTTTTTGCTAATTTAAGAGACTGGTGTTTAGCTCTATCACATGAACTGTATTGATCCTTATGGTCAGCATATTAATCATCCATTTTCTGTTCCTCATTTACTGCTTATATCTTATGTGATTTTCTTTGCAGAAGGCTTTAAGTGAGTGATTAAATATGATAAATACTCCAAATCACCAAAATGGGAAGAAAATGCTACTACTCACTCTGTATGCTTGTCCAATACCTCCATTATCGGCAATGTTTTCTCCCAGGGTATTAATTCCATTGAGCTGGTTTTTTTTTAAAAAACAACAAAACCAGACACTTTATTAGGATTGCTAAGAAAAGCATTAATAATTCACACTTACAATTGAGCATATCTAAAATTTTTCAACACAATGCTGGTGACATACGTGCTGTCCACCTGCTAGGTCCCAGGAGAAGTTTCCATACTGGTATACCATGCACTGGGATTGGTCTTTAAAATTATTTGCAGACTGTTGGGTCCACCAGTCCACGAGGTCTCCATCCTTGTTAAAATTCCTGCCTGTAATATATTTATTTAAGTAAAATTAAAACTCACTACAATAAGAATTACAATAAGATATTCTTTAGTTCAAAGCGCACGCACCGAAATACTGCCATGTGACAGAACATTCACTTGGACAGATGACGAGAGAAGCTGTTCTCTCTCCTTATCCACCAAGTTGGTAAAGCCTGGACTATTAGGACTTTCTTTGCTGACATGTCTCAGTACTGATCCAGATGTACCAGGAGCTTGGCTCTTAATAGCTCAGATGAGGCCACCAGGCAAAACATTCCTGAAATCACACTTTGTCCTGCTGGCTGGTTTCCACCTAAACCAAGTCTGCTGAATGTGATATTTTGAGATTTTTTTTAAAAGGTCAACATTTTTATTCTGACATTCATTTCATATTCCCAGGCCTTTCATGAGACACTGTGGGCTCATAGTTTCCCTCTACTTCAAGCACAAAGTGAAAGTCTCCTTTTTCTCCTAACACTTTCCTGCCAACTCTAAATGACATCGATCTTTTCCTTTTTTGAGCTCCAATTTCATATACATATGCCATGTGTTTTGACACTTAATTATACCATCTTATTCATATTTATCTATGAAGCCAAACTACTTACATTCATCTCCTGGTTCCACCAATTCTTAGCTTTATAACTTTGAGTAAGTCTTTCATGTGTTTCTCTTTTAGTTCCATTTGAAAAATGAAACAGTTGCACCCCCCGCTCACATTAACATCAATAAGGGTACCTGATCCCAAACCAGGTAACGTGAGGACCAGTGGGAGGCTCAAACATCACCTGTACGATGACCACTTATGTACCGAATCCTGAACTGTACCCCTCACCCCTCATCTTTAAAATTAAAAACTTAAGCCGGGCTCAGTGGCTCAGCCTGTAATCCCGCGCCTTTGGGAGGCTGAGGTGAGTAGATTGCCTGAGCCTGCGGGTTCGAGACCTGCCTGGGCAGAGAGACCTCATCTTTACAATAAATCAAAAAAAAAAATCAGCCAGGCGTGGTAGCGCATGCCTGTAATTCCGGCTACTCGGAAGGCTGAGGTGGAAGGATCGCTGGAGCACAGCAGGCGAGGCTGCGGTGGCTGGAAGCAGCCACTGCACTCCAGTCTGGGCGATCGACTGAGACTCCAACTCAAAAAAAAAAAAAAAAAAACCTTAAAAAAAGAAAAAGGAAACATTCTCCAAGTTAGCATAAAAGAATGTAGCTTGCAGGTGTCCCATCATAAGCTTAATGATCTCCACTGCACAGTGAAATACTACACAGAAGATAAGAAAAAAGAAAAATGGAAACAGTATTAGTCCCTACCAACTAAGACAGCTGCATAGCTTAATTGAGCTAATGGACACTTAGCCTTTGTAAAAAACTGTACCCGTCCTGTCTCCTTTTCTTTCTCTAGCTCTCTAAAGTGGGTCTAGATAAGGTTTAATTATTTTCTCTCTATTGCTCTATTTCTACCTCTCTTTCCACTTGGGAACTAATCTTTGTCATAGATTCTATCATCATCTCTTTACCGATTTCATGTCTTCTATTCCTTTCAGGAATTCAGCTTTCGTTGGAACTCTAAATCTATTTTGCCATTTAGAGGGGCATGGAAACTTTTAAGTACCTATTGCTTGCAAAAGCTTGAACTAGGTAGGAGGTATAAGATGAAAAAAAACGAAAGTAACTTAAGAATCTTACGGGCCCTTACACAGACAGTACTTCCTAATTTTAGGACACAGACATGACCCTGCCCTCTAAGAGTCTGATGAGATAAGTCACATACAATCAGAAAATAAGAGCAAACATTATTGCTGGTGTTGACAAATATCACAGTAGTTTATCAATATGAATAGTTTGCTTTATTCTGTCAGAGTGTAAAGCACACATCGATTACCTCACTAGTTAGAAAATCTTTCATCTTAGGCAACAATTTAAAGAAAAAACTGAAAATGTGAGGAAAATTAGGCCAATGATACATGGATGACTAAATGTGGTTTTGTATTGATTAACTGTAGTAACTGAATCAAATTTACGAGAACGGATCTCAGCCATAAGAAAACGCCAACTGTACTTTACCATTGTCATCGAAGCCATGTGTGATTTCGTGTCCTATGACCATGCCGATGCCACCATAGTTCAATGAGTTGGACTGCTGGGCACTAAAGAAAGGCGGCTGCAGAATGCCAGCTGGGAAAACTACAACGAGAGAAGAGAATTCAATTATTTATGGCATTGTTATTATTAAAATTATTATTATTAGACAGTGTCTCACTCTGTTGACCAGCTGGAGTGCAGTGGCTATTCATAGCTGTGATCATAACTGACTGTATCCTCTAACTTCTGGGCTCAAGTGATCCTCCCGTCTCAGCCTCCCAAAGTGCCAGGATTAAAGGCATTAAGTCACCATGCCCAGCATATTATTATTTTTTAGAGACAGTGTTTTGCCCTGTTGACCAGGCAGGGAGTGCAGTGGTTATTCATAGCTGTGATCATAGCTCACTGTATCCTTGAACTCCTGGGTTCAAGTGATCCTCCTACCTCAGCCTCTGGGTAGCTGGAACTACTGGTACATGCCCTCAAGACATTATTCCATGACAGCATGCCTGGGGTTGGTTTTGTGTTTGCTCAGGGGCTGTCCAGTATGTCAATTTCACTTAGGTTGACACAAAAATCTTCTGTGATAGAAACCAATGCAGACCCTTTATTGTGGATGACAGCAAATAGTTCATTCTAGGGAGGCACCATCATCTATGATTTATAATCACAATTCATTTGACAATCTCTTTTAAGATTGTCTTCTGCTGTAAGGAGTATGAAGCAAGGGGAAGTTATAATCTACATTCTGAAGGTCCTTTCCTTCTTATAAGTATTTGGAAAAAATAGTTATTAAATAGCCTGAGGATCACTGTTGATGTTATCGTTAAAATTCTATCCATCTACAATAGCATCTTAACTAAGTCGTGCTACTCAATCAAATGTATCCCTTGATCACATAACCTTATTTTATTCTCATTAAGGCACCTATGACTGAGATTGTTATTTTTTTGTTTATGGCTGGAGTCTTTGCTTTTCTTCTCTGCCCCATTCCCACATCAGTTCCCCACATACTAGGCTTCTGAGAACAGAGATTTATATGCCTCTATGTACATTTGTTTGTTTGTTGACTCCATGTTTTTATAGTTCATTATCTTTAATACATAAAATTAGAACAGTGCCTGTAATATGTAAGGGGGACACACACCAAAAAACTTGGTATTTATAAAATGTTGTGTGTTTATTCTTATATGTTTAAATTTTAGTCACCTTCAAAGTATTCTCCATTTGATGCAACGCACCTATTGAGATGCTTTTTCCACTGCTCGAAACAGTCTTTGAACTCACTAATTTTGATGACTTTTAGTGCTTTTGCCAGTTGTCTCACCTCTTTCACACCAGCAAAACGTTTCTCTTTGAGGACTTTTTTTATCCAGGGAAACAAAAAGAAGTTGCTCAGGGTGAGATCAGAGAATAGGAAGAGTGTGGCATGGGGGTCAAGCATTTTGGCCAAAAACTGCCGAACACTCAGCATGGTATGAGCTGGTGCATTGCAATGGTGGAAGAACCAGTCATCTGTTTGCCACAACTTGGGACCCTTCTTCTGCAAATCGTGACACAACCTTCTCAAAACTTCCAGATAAAAACTTTGGTTGACTGATCCGGAGGAACAAATACCACGTGTACTATAAGGGGCCTGCCCTCCAAAAAATAATTTAGTTTTTTGGGGGGAGAGTCTCCCCTCGTATTTCACTGTTTCTGAAACATACTACTAATGTGCCTTTATTCTCTTCTCTTGGAATACAATTCCCCTATTTAGCAAAATTTTGAGCCATACTGTTTAGAAGTGGCTAATCTTTGACCTTAGAAAGAAATTAAAATTAATGTTTGTAGTAATTTTGCATTTCATGTTTTAAACTCCAGTATCCACTGAAGAACTTAAATGTTATTTTCTGTAATTGGAAAAAAAAATCTTTTAGTATCAACACCTATTACATGCAAAACCTTTGGCCATTGAAATGCAGGACAGTAATACACGAGAAGGGTCCTTGCCTTAAGAAATTTAAGATCTAGCTAACACAGAATAGTCCATACTGTTTCTTTTTCTTTCAACCGAGCAGAATATGACATAACCTTTGCATGGGCTTTGGGGATAACTATTAGATATTTACAGAGAAGACTTTAAAAATACTCACCAATCTAATTGCGCTCCAGACATCTAAAAACATTTGGAAAGTTGCCATAACATTCAAATGACACAAGGATAAAAAATACTTTTGTCCTTGGAGAATTTTGATGAAAGTTGTACCTCACGTGTAGCTGCCTGTGCTAAACACTGCCAAGAATTATTATTAGCTTAAAGTATAAAAATTATGCGCAGTACTTTATTAACTTAAAGTGAATACTATCTCCCACACTATGTACTTTGATTAAAATCCACCCATTATATAAAATGCTCTTATGAAACGTGCTATCAAGACTAAATATTAACTATAAAGATTCTTCTGCTTTAATTATACTCTGATATGCCATTCTTCAGGCAAGTGATAAGATTTTTATGGCTTATAATAAATACTAGTCTTCAAGTTCAGCTTTGTTAATTATGATCTCCCTTTTTACTTTGTCAGCTAAATCTCTAGAAGGAAGATTTTCCCCATTAGCCTTATTGCTGTTACTAGTAGACACCACACCTGTTGTTTATAACCAGCTGCTTGGTTTTGTATTCTATGTTCATGATTGTCAACAAGTTAGTTAAGTCACTGGTCCGTGAAACAAAAGACTGTGTCTCTGCTGCCTGCTTCTCAGTTCACCCATACCACAACGACCCTGGCTGATTTTCTTTTAAGGCTGCTAGCAATTCAATTTTAGAATATTTTATATGAAGCTCAAGTTTGCAAACAGATAAAATTTTTGGTAGAAAATAATTCAAACATTATTTTTATATTACATGAAGTAGCAACGTGCTTGAAAAATTTTTTTCTTTTCAATTCTGAATGTAAAGAATAAATACGGCACTTAGAAAATTTAACTACCTTAAAAGTATTCACAGATCACACAGGTTGCATATACTAAATAACTCGTACATTTCTGAAATTGAAAAAATTGATGTAAAAGATCCTTATTGCAATTTTAATTTTTAAAAAAGGGGACTACAGAAGTAGTAAGACTTTCCATTTGACTTGATCATTTCCTTTAACAAGATTGTAAGGTTTAATAAGATGATTGAATGATTCTTATTTCCCACCCCCCCACCCCATTATCTTTAAACCTAATTTTGATCTAATGCTAAAACTGTGATTCAATAACTCATGGAAACTGGTACCTTGGAATAAATTCTCAAACACCAAATGTTCCGAATGACATCATCAAGGTGGCTACTTCTAGCTAACAGCTCAGAAAGGCCAACGGCAACTAAAACTCAAATTTCTGCTAGGTATATTTTAGTTTAGTGCTTGCAGTTACTTTGAAAAATTGGCAATTAAAGAGATGAGTTTGAATCCTTCCACCAAAAAAAAAATTTTGCTTTTTTTTAAAGATGACTGAATAGTGCCTGGAACTTACAGAGAAATGTCTAACAAGACATTCAAGGGCAACTTTCCTAACAACATGGCATGAAAGGCTTCGAAGAGCTCCAGGAAGCAAATGCGCAAGAGGAATAGTGAATGAAACACTTTTAGTATACCTTCTTTCCTAGAAACGGACTTGGTTGGGGAGGGACATGCACACAAATTTGAATGTTGCCTACAACATGCATGTATTAACTACATGTATGTGTTCTGACAAAAAATGGTGGAAACTGAATTAAAAAGTAGAAATTATTGATATGAGTAACTCCCTATATGTTAATAAAACAAGTTTGGTTTTTTTTTTTTTTTTTTTAACATAACAACATAAAATGACCCATACCATGAGAAAGTGTATGCAGTCTAATTTGGGATATTTGTATGTCTATGTGGGAGGCGAGGGTCATTTAAGTGACAAAGGTCATTCCATACCAAAAATTTTGTAATGGGTAGCATATCAAATCCACTAAGACAGCGTTGTGAAAGATATATATGTGTATATTTATACACACACATTTCTATCAAGGAGAAAGACAGAGATCTGAATCTTCAATTATTGTTAGTTAAGACAATCCCCACTAGAAGATTAAGATAAAGTATCAAAAAGAAAAAGTATGTATTTTGAAAGGTATTCCCCTCTTGCATGATACTTTCCCCTTCCTTTGTTAGCAAACAAGCATATGAAGAGGTTAACAGGTTTTCTTTTCTTTTCTTTGTTTTGGTTCCTGCTTCAGGTTTATTTGCACAAATAGCACTTGGACACCAGCCCCATGCAGATGGCAGCCTAGGGGTCACAGCAGTCATTCTGTCCTCACGCTGGCAAACAGAGGCCCCTACTCTGGAGATGACGTGGGGGCCTGGGCCCCTTGGGAGGTTGAACAGGAGCTGGAACTAAGCTGGAGATGCTGCTGAACCTGTGGCCTTGGCCCTGGCTTGATCCTTGGCCCTGGCTTGATCCTTGGCCTGACTCCTGGCCTCGGCTACATGCTTGGCCTTGGCTCAGCTCTTGGCCTTTAAGCAGATCCTCAAGCCCTTGGCAAGGCTGGCATAAACATCCTGCTCAAACTTGGAGTAGGCAGTGTAGACAAGCAGATCAGCCTTGTGGCTAAGGCCCTTTGAGATACTGAGCTTAGTCTCCCTGAACTCTACAAAAGCCTTGGTAGCCTCAGCACATGCATTCATGGTGTTGGTGGTGTTGGCTTCCAGCTTCTTCAGGCCTTTCTGGTTGTGCTTCTTGGCAAAGTTCATGTTCTGCAGGAATATGGGGTATCTTTGTAGTTTGGGGTTTATCAATGCCATTTCTGTGCCATTTTGGGACTGGTCATGTGTAGTGTGGTTCTTGGCCTTGGCCATGTCTGCACTGAAACTTGAATTACCTGGGACAGGAAGAGAAAGAGAGGCGGCGGTGCAGCACGAGAAATAGAGTCCAGGTTTTCTTGTTTTGTATTTCCATCATGTGTGTTTATCTTGAGAATCTTTAAAAAGGTCTTTCTTATACATTAAGAATGCTTAATACAGCTGATTCTTCATTATTCCGAGGGCAACTTTCAAATTGTGAAATGTTGGGTCACTTTTGCCTTCTTTTCCTTTATGCTGTGTGCTTGTTTGTTTTGGGAACATTAAACTCAAGATGAAAACATTTCCAGCTCTTCTCTAATCAGAGAATCTCTGAAGTGGAACAATTTTTTGCCACCTCCAGAGACTTGTAATTCAGAGTCAAGCAAGGTCCCGTCTTGACATAAACTGGTGGGCCTGCTCTAGAGAAGAGCTGAAGGACTGAACACGGCAGATGGGTCCCATAGAGGATGCATCAGTACCAGATCTGATGGGGTCCACGGTCCTCCCTGAGCTGGACTGAAATCAAGCTACATCCCCTAGTCTGCCCTAATGCAAAACTAAGGGTCTAGGTGGTCTCACTTTGCCCTGAGATTCCACTGAAAGTTAATCATTCTTGAAAGTTAATCATTCTGCTTTAATCTCAGTGTCAAATCAACTAGAACTTATACAGATAGAACTACCAAATATTAAAAAGGGGATTTCAAAGTGAAGACCCTCCAGAGATAAAGGTATTTCTAAGATAAGGTCTGAATAATTTCTAGGAATATAATACAAAGGATTGACTTCCTGGGTTCTGAGGAGTTGATCATTAAGCAGGTTCTGGTCTAGGCTTAGGGAATCATTTCCCTAGCCAGAAAACATGAGCTTAAACTTTGACCGACTGACTTCAACCTGGATGCACATGTCTTACTTATTATCTGTATGTTATATAAAGACTATCTTTTCTGTCTGCCTATATGACTCATTTCAGCCCATATATCAAAAGTAACTTCCAGTGGATTAAAGTTTTACTCCAAAAATAGAAACTATAAAAATACTAGAAGAAAATGAAGATAACTTCTTAACCTAACTCTTTCTAGACTTGAAAGCAATGGGGAAAGGTATAATAGAACTTTAACATAAAAAGATATAATTTATTTTAAGGTTTGCTTTTTAATCAGTGATAAAAGTCTTGTAAGATATCTCATAATTTCTAATCTAACTGGTGGCAGAATTCAAGAAAAATGCGGCTTATGACAGACTCTGAGATGCAGAAGAGTAGTTTAGAATGATGCTGAGATTATCCTCCCTCTTGATTCTGGATCACACTTAGAAATAAAGGACAGGACTGAGTGCACCTGGGGAACTGAGTGCCTGCTCTACTGTTAGTTTAGAAAACCTCTGGCATATTGAATCAGTTCTAATGCTAAAAACCCCTTGGAAAAAATGAGTCTATGGTCTATGATAAGAGACACAGAGTTCAAAGTTGTCCAGGTCAGGAAGAAAAAAATATATATATCTTTGTCATTTTAAGTCGTCCAGTTTTTCATTATATATAACATATAATATATCCATTTTATGCATATGCCTGTGATATTGCTATTAGTAAACATATGAATTATTTTCTTTTTTATTGAAAGTAGTTAGGTTAATACAATTTCATATGATTCAACCTAATATAATTGAGATTTTATGAACTTCTTGGATGCTTCTGGAACGAAGATGACATAGAATAGAACCACCTCTTCCAGAGCCAAAATGTAGAATTGCCAAGAATAACTGAATCTGTGACTAGCTAGCTCTGGGGAACCTTAAACTATTTGAAGATGCTGACGCTTAGTAAATATTAAAATAATATACTTCATAGAGACATATTTAAGTGACTTTTAAAAGTACTTAGAAATAAGATAAACCATTTTAGGTACAAGTGGGAATATTGCAAGAAACAAAGAAGCCAGGTGTGGTGGCTCACTCCTGTAATCCCAGCAGTTTGGGAAGCGGAGGCTAGAGGACTGCCTAAGTCCAGAGGTTCGAGGCCAGCCTGGGCAACTTGGTGAGACCAATAAAATAAAAAATAAGTTGTCTCTACAATAAAACTCTCTACAATAAATCAAAAAATTAGCTGGCCATGTTGGTGCACACCTTTGGCTCCAGCTACTTAGAAGCCTGAGGTAGAAGTATCACCTGAGCCCAGCAGGTGGAGGCTGTGGTGGCTGTGAGCATGCCACTGCATTCCAGCCTGGGTGACAGAGTAAGTCTCTGACTCAAAAACAAAAAACAGAAACAAAACTACTTAATGTGATTGGTACTAATTTAAATTTTCCCGTTATAGTAAAAAAAGGTACAAGGACGTGTTTACTTTCAAGAAGAATATTCAATAAATCAGCAACAGCCTCAGATGTGCTTGTTTGGATGGTATTATAAATTTGCCATACAATGCACTATAGGTGGGGAACAACAGAGAAATATTAGTTAATTAGGAATACACCTTACCTATCTGATTTCTGCCTGAAGAATAAAATGCGTTGACTACAGCTGCTCCGCTTATCCACCTATGGAAAACATAAGAACTCGTTACAAACGAAATGGATTATCTGATTCAATCCACTCACCACAATAAAAGCATTATTAATCTTCTAAGAAGAATCTTAACTTTCTGTTTGAAATACGATCAACAAATTAAAATTAGATCACTAGGTGGAAGCTCTTTCTAGAGTATTTCTATTTCTTCAAAAACATCAGCAGGCCAGGCGCTGTCATCGCTACAATAAATCAAAAAATTAGCTGGGTTTGATGGCACATGCCTGTAGTTCCAGCTACTTGGAAGGCTGAGGCGGAAGGATCACCTGAGCCCAGCAGTTCGAGGCTACAGTGACTGTGAGTATGCCACTGCACTCCAGCCTGGGTGACAGAGTGAGACTAATCAGGTCTGCAATCTATTACTCTATTTGCATGAATTGTTATGGGGGTGCATATCTGACAGTGCAAAATCTATTAAAATGTATCACTCTGGAAATTATAATGGGTAAGATTATACTAAAACGTATTTAGCTTTATGTTACCAACACTAGGTAACTATGTCAACAATACTGGAACAGTTGACAGAATATTGAAGTGTAGGTGATTAAAACTTCAGATTCAAGTATATTTAAAAATTTTAAATTTCTGATTGACAAAAAGTCTTTTTGGGAACTAAGACATCTCAGGTAGTAATTATTGCCATTTAAAGTAATTTAAAAAACAAAAACAAACAAAATTCCAGCCAATTGAGCAAAGGTATATTTTTATATGACTGTACAATAAAGCCCAGGTGGTTCTTAAGTAGAGTTGTCTTTGTCTGTTTATACCATGTTTTAGCCTTTCTATGGCATCTGAGGATTTTATAAAATTCAGTCCTTGACTTGAGGAGATGAGAGAAAGATGCACAACTATAATATAAGACTGAATGAGAAAATGGGGAAAATGGTTCCTAGGTCATAATTTGAGGACTGAAGGAGAAGAGTCAATGTCCATGTCTTTCTGCTCAGATGTAATGAAGTAATCACGTGTTGAGAAATGCCAAACAGGAATAAAATTCCCATCTCACTAGCCACATATCCTTATATATTCATTGAAAAATGGATACTGTTTGACTTCAAATGCCTCTACAATGTCAGCACACATGCGAATACACTTAAGATAATCATGTATTATCATATAATGGCTTCATTGCAGTTATTCTACTTTTGGGGCAACGGTTAGCATCGCAATTATTTAGCTTACTTACAGGAGTTTACAATATAATGAGGTTAAATCAGAACTGTTTCTAGACCCTGTTTTGCCAGGTAAGTAGTACAAAGTCAGCTGCCCAACCAGTATTTCAGTTATAATGTAAGTAATTATTGTGGGATGTCAGAGGTGAATCTTATTTTGATCTCCTAATACTGGCAAAGGTCCACACATAACACCTGTCTGATAAATTCTGAGTAATTAGGGGTTTTGTCTCCAATAACATAATTAAGATTTTATTTCATATAAAAGATTTGGGACTTAAAAAAACAGAGTTAACATTTCTGTAAATTTTTCTTTCGGAAGAAAATAAGCTTGGAGGTGGAGAAGAACAGTTGATCAAAGTGTTTCTTCCTTACTTTGCTACTGCTATTGTTTTAAATAGAGAAAAACATTTTAAAACAGAATGGGGAGGTGTTTGATATATCTGTTCTCCCTAATTCCATCACAGTCAAAGTCATCAATATTTTAATATTTCTTGCAGGTTGATGATTACAAGAATATAATTTTTTATTTATTTTAATTAAACTCCACTTGCTTCCCACATAATTTGTGGTGACTCAAGAAAAGCATGTGTTGCTGGACACGGTGGCTCAAGCCTGTAATCCCAGTACTTTGGGAGGCCAAGGTGAGAGGATTGCCTGAGCCCAAGGGTTCGAGATCAGTCTGAGTGAGATGGTGAGACCTCGTCCTAAATAAATAACAAAATTAGCTGGGCCTGGTGGCACACGTCTGTAACTTCTGCTGAAGCAGAGGGATCGTCTGAACCCAGCAGGTCGAGGCCACGGTGGCCACAAGCAGGCCACTGCTCTCTAGCCTGGGTGACAGAGTGAAACTCCAACTCAAAAAAAAAGAAAAAAAAAACATGTGTTTGTAAACGCAGACTAAAAGTGAGATCAGAAACTATATAGAACAAGTAGATTTCATTTATGGGACTAAGAAATATTATTTAAAAACTCACATAAACAAAAATCATTATCAGAAACAATAACATATTGTGACTGTGTTTATATATATTCACACATTTACTATGTCTCAGGCTCAAATATGGTTCCACGTTGCCTGACAAGAGGGTCACAATAAAAAACTTCTACTCTTGGGAAACATTATTCCCTGCTGGCTCACGCCTACAATCGCGGCACTTTTGAGAGGCCAAGGTGGGAAGATCAACTGAACCCAAGAGATCGAGACTAGCTTTAGCAATAAAGCGAGACCTCATGTCTACGAAACTTTTTTAAAAGGTTATTTTTGATGTGCCCTTAGCATTCTGACAGCAAATTTTATATGTAAACAGCTTATAGTTACTAAAATTTTCATTGTTATAAAAGTTAATTGAACATGTTTCCAGGCCTCAGTAGTTTTAGGGTTCAGTTCTTAATTATGGACTTCTGATTTAGTGACACTAAATTCTGCATGGACTTTTACGGGTAATTTCAAATAACACTTGCAAACTGCTTGGTTCTAGACTAGTCAAAAATTCTTAATAATGAAACAGAACAGGTACTGATCCGAATTGTTTTGAACTGTTACTACAGAGGAAAGGAAGTAAACACATGACACTAAGGTTACAGATAACAATGTCTCTCCAAAGTAGGACACAGATAAATGAAGTTTATATGGTATCACTCATCTTGCATCTATTGCTTTTGTAAAATAAATGTCACACCTTTTGGTTTCGTGCATTTCTACTCTTCTGTTATATTATTTTGGGAGCTTTAAGATTGCAGTTTGGGCCAGGCTTGGTGGCTCAGCCTGTAATCCCACGCTTTGGGAGGCTGAGGTGAGTGGATTGCCTGAGCCCGCGGGTTCGAGACCTGCCCGGGCAACTTGGCAAGACCTCATCTCTACAGTAAATAAAAAATTTAGCTGGGCGTGGTAGCACGCACCTGTAGTGCTGGCTACTTGGAAGGCTGAGGTGGAAGGATAACTGGAGCCCAGCAGGTTGAGGCTGTGGTGGCCGAGAGTGGCCACTGCACTCCAGTCTGGGTGACAGAGTGAGACTCCGACTCAAAAAAAAAAAAGATTGCACTTTGATTAATGCTTGTAACTTTCCAGCAGGGAGAGTTTTACATATTAAAATGTCCACTGTGAATTATACTTTCAAGAAAACAGGGAGCTATTTATGATCACAGGATGCTCAAATAAAATTAGAGTTATGGTGTTTGGGTTTACATAACACTCGTGTATAGTATTTGCCTTTTCCTCCTTGAGATCTTTCTTGATGTATCCTCAGACCACTCTGGGGAATCATCCTCATCCAAAAGCACAGGACATCGTGCCCCTGGTAATGACCAAAACTTGAAGTACTGTGATTAGATCATTACATCTTAAATCAGGTGATTAACAACTACAGGCTGAATGTCTAATATTTGTGGTCAATCATGAAACTTCTCATTATGTTAACATAAATGCTAAATTAATGAATAAAGGAAATATTCTTCAGATTAAACAGTGATGTAACAAAAACTATAAGTTCATTTGATGTGGATGTACTCCTCATAAATGGATACGTTTCTATTTATGGAACACAGACAAATTTGACCCTGAATAGCAGCACAAACAAGAGAAAATGTACACAGAAGAGAAAATCAAATTGGGGTGATTCTTGCCCTAAAATAATGGGTAGTGAAGGTTACCTGAAGATATCTTTATTTTGTTATTTCATTTTTTAATGTTTGAGTCAGGGCCTCACTCTGTCACCCAGGCTAGAGGGCAGTGGCACAGATCATGTCTCTTGCAGCCTCGACCTCCTGTGCTCAGGCGATCCTTCCACCTCAGCCTCCCAAGTAGCTGGGACTATAGGCAGACACCACTATACCTGGCTCATTTTGTGATATTTTTGTAGAGACGAGGTCTCACTATGTTACACAGGCTGGTCTCAAGCAATCCTCTTGCTTTGGCCTCCCAAAGTGCTGGGATTACAGGCATGAGCCACCATGCTCAGCTTGAAGATACCTTTAAAATGTGGAGGCCAGACGCCAACAGCCTCCAAAGAGCAGTATCATTCTTCTGCTTATCTACCTTTCTCCTGGGGTCTGTATGGACACATGTGGAGGTAGGGTTGATATAAAGTGAAGAAAGAGGAAGCAAGAAGTAAGAAACTATTTGTAATTTCTGAGATGTAATTTTGTCAGGTGAGCTTATTCTTGTTTTGGGACCTTCAAGAGTTAAACAAGAAAGAGCCACTCTAAGCCACAGAGGCCTCAAAGCTGATCTAACAACATGGGTAGGAAATTTAACTGAAATACACTTGAGAGAGAGACCAGGTGCTTCTCTTCTCTCTCTTATTACCCTGAAGAAGTTTAGTGGTGATGAAATAGAAGTGTATGGACATCATTTTTATAGCAGGGAAGAAAAGCAGAAGTCAACAGCCCGATCCTATAGCCTTTTGGATATAATAAACCCACTGGATTGCAAAAGCACTTGAAATAAAATTTCTCTTTCACTCACTCTGGGGTAACTTTAAAACTTAAAACAACAACACTGTTGATGTGCCTTTTCTCCAAGTGTTCGATTTCTCAGCAACTAGCAGTCTCAAAGCAACTCCTTTGAAATCAGTAGAGCAATACAGTAGTTTTCTGTCTCTTCCTACAGTCCCCCAGGGCGGAAAAGAAAATTCTCATCTTGGAATCACAATTAGAGCTGTATCCTTTATATGTATCACTATTCTTCCATCAAGACTTCAGAGATGTTCATATGCTTCATTCATCTTTCGAACCATGTGCATCATATAGGCAGCATCTACCACTGGCTGGTGCAGAAACTGAGGCACAGTATGACTATT